TGCATTTCCTAGCTTTGTCCACTGAAAAGCCCTAGATGCAATGACAACCCAGAACAGTTTCTAAGTATCATTCTCCACCATAAAGAAGCAGAACTCCTTGGAGAAATGGATGAATCCAGATCTGAGGTAGAGAAGGGACAAGGCAAGCCTGCAATGTTTGTGCAAAAAAGCAAGAAACATTTAAAGACTATTGGGAACATTTCTAAAGGACAAAGAAGCCAATGTAAAGGATCTCCCACTGTCCAAATTTGAGCCAATATGGGACTCAAACAGCATAATGATGGTAAAGGATTCTAACATGCTTGGATTTTTTTTTTTTAATTCCACGAGATCACAGTGATATGAAAGAGACAGAGAAGGAGAGAGAGAGAGAAAGGAGCAGATGCTGGTGATGCCTGTTCCACATTCCTCTCAACCCACTTGAATTCTCTTGCAGCTATCCACAGTTCCAGCACCCTGACAGGTTCCCATCTCAATGCCTGTGTCCTTTCTCCTCTGCCTGAGGTCTTTCTCAGGAACCACTTAGAGTATATGGCTGCTAGGGGATGCAATCTGAAAGTGTAGAGGAGATTAGGAAGGTGGGAATACTTACTATCACCAGGGCAGTTCTTAACTAATGGGTGATGGGATTAGCGGGACCATTCTGAGGCATTCCACAGCATTCTGAAGTTTCTCAGCACCAGTTATTCACAGCAGAACTGTTCACCGATACACTGTATTCGAGCTTTTCTCCTTGCCCTGTCTTACTTTCCCTATTTCCCTGTCCCCCTGGTATCATCTCCCAAATAAACTACCCACAACCAGGTTCATTCTGTCAGGGTCAGTATTAGGGGACACAAAAAGTAAACAAGTTAAAGAGACTAGACAAATGGGGAAAGGGTAAGCTTGTCTTATAGGAATATGGCAGCTAATACATATAAAAGGAATGACAGAATTGAGAAAATCACCATTTTGCAATCCCAAATTAAAATTTGATTCAGGCAAGAACCATTAATTTATGCTAAAATTGAGTAAAAGGTTAATGGGGAGCAAGGTATTCACATGGTCTCCAAGTATCACCCCTCAGAATACTTAATGATTACAAGGAGATATACTTGTTCAGTGGAGGTATCAGGCCACCATCTCTACCAAGCTGTATTAGTCAGCTTGGGCTGCTATAACAAAATACCATAGATTGGGTGGCTTAAACAATAGGAATTTATCTTCACAGTTTTAGAGGCTGGGAAGTCAGGATTAAGGTCCTGGCCAATTTGGTTCTGGGTAAAGCTCTTTTCCTGGCTTGTGGCTGGTCACCTGTGTGCTGTATCCTCACATGGCAGAGAGAAAGACAGAGAAGTAGCAAACTCTGGTGTCTGTGTTTTTAAGGGCACTAATCCGACAATGGGGACTTCACATTCATGACCTTATCTAAGCCTAATTATATCCCAAAGGCTTCATCTCTACATACTATCACTTGTGGGGGGGCCTAAGGCTTCAACTTATGAATTTTAGTGGGACATAATTCAGTCCATAACACCAGTGATCACATTTAGTATCATAATAATTAGACAACCTGACATTATGCACCTTCTGATATTTTGCAGAAAAGGGCATAACATGTATTTTTGCTAAAATATTTCATTTACTGCACTAACGGGGAAACAAAAAAATAAATCCTGAATGTGAGACATTCTACAACAAAACTGCCCCAGACTCTTCAAACAGTATACCTAAACTCTTTTAAAAGTCCAGGAAAACTGCTCTAAAAATTAAGAGTAAAGAGACATAACACCAAATAAAATTGTGATCCTTGGGGAAAAAAAAGCAGCTATAAAAAGACATTTTGTGGACAAGTGGCAGCATTTAAATATGAACCTAATATTAGATGATTAGACATTATTGTTTATTTTTCTAGGTGTGATAAAAGTAATGTGGTTATATGAGGACATCCTTATTCTAGGGAGACACAGGCTGAATTACTTAGGTGTAAAGTGCCATAAAACCTGCAGCTTACTTCCAAAAGGTTTAGTAATAATAAATGAAGTAATTAACAGTTTAAAATAATAGATTGAAATAAGAAATAAGGCAAATGTGGCAAAAATGGAAGCAATTGAATCTAGGTGAAAAATGTTCACTGTGCTATTCTTTTTAGTTTTCTGTAGGTTTGAAATTTTAAAAAATAAAATGCTGAAAAAAGGTAAGTATTATATAGAAGCCATATAAATGTTTTTGTTGTCAAAGTGGAAAAATGGACCCTCGGGAATGCCTTTGAAGTTTTCCAGGCCAATGTGGCATCTCTTTCATGCTCTGTGATACCAAATTCTAGAACTTCAATAAAAAGCTGGTTCTGACCCTTGACCATGACCCTTAAAAGGCACTAGGTGATTTCTAATGTTTCATGATTATAAATATGTTTTATGTTTTATTGTTTTTATATCCTTAAATATTTTATAGAATATCTGCAATTAATTCTGACTCCTTAATTAAATGATAGCTTCTACTTTGGAAGCCAATCAATACCATGGGTTTGTGGTTACCAGTTACATGGTTCCTTCTTAGACCTGGTTGTGCAGAGTCGTGACCCAACTCAAGCCCACCTTCCCTGCTATTCAGCAGTTCTCTAGCCAGCTCCTTTGTGTGTGTGTGTGTGTGTGTGTGTGTGTGTGTGTGTGTGTGTTTTACGGGGTTTTTTGGAGAGGGGAGGTAATTAGGTTTATTTATTTTTAGAGGAGGTACTGGGGATTGAACCCAGGACCCTGTACATGCTGAGCATGCACTCTACCACTTGAGCTATACCCTCCCAGGGTCAGCTCCTTTTAACTTACTAGCAAACAGTATGTCTTCTTCTTAAGACAGCAGTTCCATAAGCCCTCATTACACAATTATGTCTTCCTTTTCCTAAAATTAATATTTATTGACAATACATGAATATGTTATCTTTACAAAATGGTGGAACATTACAAGTTTAAGTGGCTTGTGACCGTTAATATCTTCTTATTCTGTGCTACACACTGTTTCAGTAATAAATTAAAAAATACAAAAATTCTTGCTCTGGTACATAGGGGAGCCAGACCCCAAAATATTTAAAATGTATAACTCATGATTGTTCTAAGAGTTATAAGGAAAATAAAGCAGGAAGGAGGAAAAGGGACTGCAGAGGAAATTATTTTGTGCAATGTTCTATAGTTTTCAGTGTGTAAGCCTTTCACCTCCTTGTTTAAATTTATTCCTAGGAATTTTATTTTTTGGATGGTATTATATATGAAATTGTTTTCTTAATTTTCTTTTCAGATTGTTCAATGCTAGTATATAGAAATACAAATGATTTTTATGTATTGATCCTATATCCTGCAACTTTACTGAATTCCTTTATTAGCTCTAATAGTTTTTCTGTGGACACTTGAGGATTTTCTATATATAAGACCATGTCATCTGCAAAGAGGGATAGTTTTACTTCTTCCTTTCCAATTAGGATGTGTTTTATCTCTTCTTCTTGCCAAATTTCTCTAGCTAGAATGTCTTTTATTAGGTTGAGGAAGTTCCCTTCTATTAGCAATGTATGATCTTGAGTTGGATTATTTGGTTATAAAGTACATTATTGGGACAATTGGTGAAACTTGAATGGGTTCTGAAGTTTAGGTAGTGTTAATTTCCTGATGTTGACTATTGTAATGTTATATAAGAGAACACCTTGTTTGTAGGAATTACACACAGTAATTATACAAAATTCAGGAGAGTTGGGCATCATGTCAGCAACATATGCTCAAATGAAAGTTTTCTGTATTATTTTTGCTACTTTTCTGTAACTTCACAATTATTTAAAAATAAATATATATTTAAGTAAAATTTTTGTTCAAAGAGACTCACCACAAAGTTTAACAAATGACAGAATGAGGTACTTGCAATCTAAATTCAGTAAGGGAATAAGATCTAGTAACTCTGGTAAGTCAACAAGGAAAAAAATCAGCAGCCCCAACAGAAGAACAAGCAAAGGATATGAACAGATAATTTAGAGAAGAGGAAAATAAAAAAGCTACCAAGCATATGAAGAGATGCTCAGATTCATTGATAATCTGAGACATTTAATTTGAAACAAAAATGATACGTCATTTCACTGTTATATTAGCTGGGAACCTTCATGCACTTCGTACACCTGGTACACCCTTTTAGAGAGCATGTTTTTTTCAAATTAGTCAAACTAAGGGTATCCATCCTTTGTATCCAACAATTTCCCTCCTGGGTGTGTATCTCCAGCAGTTTCCCTTTGGGGTGTACATCTCAAATTCTCCCGTGGGCCTATGCAAGGAAATACACAAGAATATTCACTGCAAAAAAAAAAAAAGAATATTCACTGCAGCGTTATCTGTGATCACGAATAACTAAAGGCTGAGAGACCCTGGCTGGGAGAGGGAGTGCTCACCATGGAGATCTATGCAGAAATTGGTAGCAACAGACTAGATGTATAGCTAGCAACACGGATGGTTCTTAAAAAATGTTTTTAAGTAAAAAATAGTAAGAAACAGAATGATACTGTACATTCGTAAATGGTGAAGATAGTAAATTTTATAGTTTTTTAACCACAGATAAAAAAGAATGGAACAAGAGGTATTACAAAACACTATTTTTCATCTCTGTTAATTAAAAATAACTCATAGTAAAAAGCTGTATACATTTTGTAAGAACAAATACAAATAAAAATGCACTTTAAAAAATAATTATTTAAATTATTTATCATCTTCTAATTCCTCTGCTTCCTTTGATAGATGTGGTTCCCAACCCTACTTTTTCTTCCTTTCGAGCTAGCTCTACTCTCTTTATTTTGATCTGTGAGTGCATATTTCCCTGGGTGTGATGGCTAGTCTTTTTGGCAATGTCCATTGGTAAAGGTTGGAAAGCCACACCATAGTCTTTGTCAACCCAGAGAAAATTTAGGTAAAGAAGGGGAGCAGTCCTAGGATGGAGAGTGTTAGGCACTACAAAACTCATGATTCACGTCACTTCCCATTGCTCTAAGCAGCAATGAAATCAATCAAACTCTCCAAGAGAAGATCATTTGGAGAAAGCACTCCCTGGATTGTCATCTACCAGCCATGGTGGTCTGGAGGTTAAGAGAGCAGGAGTAGTGCCCAAGGCCAGCCCATCCCCACCGCTGTCCTAACTCCTCGCTCCAGCAGGGTTTAGTACTGTGGCAAACCCACCCCTGGACCAGAAGTACTGGACAGTAGAGATTTCTACACTAAAGGTTGGCAATGATTGTCCCAATGCCAGGGGATGGCAGGCAAGAGGAATGTAAACTGTTTTTCTCCAAGTTATACTTTCATAGCTAAGATAATGCTCTTTGTCCCAGAGTGCAACCACCACCACCACTACCACCTTAATTCCCCCAACACACACACATACTAGTTCAAAACAATCTTTTATCTGCTCAGCAGGTTTTTATGGTTTGCTTATTATTTCCTGGAAACCCATAGTTTCTCCAAGGTTAATCTCAAGGGGAGGAGCTAACCACCTATCAGTTTCACCGCTTTGGTCAAAAGATGCCACTAAACACATTGGACTGGAACTACAAGAAAGAAGGGGACTTGGGACTGAATATCGAGTTAAAAGGGAATGAATGAATAGAAAACAGGAAAGAATGAATATAAAAACTATGGGGCAAAAAGTCACCATAGTATTCTGGGTTTTATCATAAAAAATAGTAATTCTTGCCCCCATTACACTGTACTCTGATTTCTACGACCCCTATCATTCAACTTTTTTGGATTTTTCTTTTGGTACTTATATTTCTAAGCAAAGTTTTTAAATTCTTATTTCTTGACTTTCTAATGTTAGATGCTCTCCATTGACCGCAGAGGGAGATTTAATGTGAAACAAGTATGGCTTCAGTTTTAGAGTCCCTCACTTTCACAGAACTTTTTCAAGGACCCACTCTTAACTTCAAGCATGTAACTTTGCATTAATTTCCATAAAGAAAACTCCTCGAACCATATGTCTCTGGCCCTACAAAACTTGACTCTATTCCTGATTTACTACCAACTTTGGACAATGAAGACTTAGTTAACTTACATCCTACCCACTTCAACACAAACCAAAAACACACATTTCCCCTCCTCAATCTCCCACAATTATGTTTTAAAATTTTAGTTCATCCTCTGTTTTAACCCCCAAATGCTCTTCCTTGTTATCTTTCCACATTATCCTGTTTTGTCTTGTGGATGCAACACTTTATCTCTCTGATAACATTGCAAGGTTTGTTTTGTTTTGTTGGTTAGTTGGTTGGATGGTTTTTTAGTTTAGTTTTACTCCCACATCATCTCTGTTTTCTCTAAGTTCCTTCCTTCCTCATGGTTTGTTTTGGCCTCTTTCTCATATTGGAGACTTTTCTTAAATGGGTGGTGATCCAGTCACACTTAAGAATGAGGCACTTAAAAACTAATCAGGCACTCAGGTGGGGGGAGTCTTGTAAATGGTGGGTGTGCCAGGCAGGCTCTAAAATGGCCCCCAGTGATCCTGACCTGGTAGTCATGCCTACGCAGTGAAGGATTAACCTTTCCCAAAGAGAGGTTGGTCTTTGCCCTGGGTTCCTGGGAGGTCATTTCAAAGCCCTTGGAATATTCTGCCTGATAAGAGTGCCTTGTTTACCTGGGGGCCATGCCAGATAGTCTATGCTAACAATGTGATTTATGCTGGTGGCTCTGGACCATACAGTGTCAGCTCAACTTCCAGAAGGGCTAGAGATCACGGTCAGCCATGCGAGCAGTCAGTCATGTCTACATAACTGAGCCCCAGTACAAATTCTGGACACAAAAGCTGGGGTAAGCTTCCCCAGCTGGTAATGTTCCATATGTATTGTCACACACTGTTGCTGTGAGAAGTGTGTGCTATCTGCACAACTCCACTGGAAGAGGAAGACTGGACTTAAAACCCTCCTCAGAGGGAGGGTATAGCTTGGAGGTAGACCATGTGCTTAGCATTTTCCTTGGGGTCCTGGATTCAATCCCCAGTACCTCCATTAAATAAATAAATAAATAACAGCTCTTCTGGACATTGCCTTATGGACCTTTTCTCTTGGGTGGTTTTGATCTGTATCCTTTCACTATCATCAACTATAACCATGAAAATAACAGCTTTCAGTAAGTTTTATGAGTCCTACTAAATTATCAAACATGAGGCTGGCCTTGGGGACCCCTACATTTGCAGTGCCTTTGTTTAACCCTCTACTTTTGAGTGTGCACTGGACTTACTGACTCATTTCTAGCAAAGAGACTATGACTGCAGTGATGGGATGTCACTTCTGAGATTAGTTTATAAATAGGCTGCAGCTTCCATCTTCAGTGCTCTTTCTTGTATTGCTTGCCCAGGGAGAAGACAGCTGTCCTATCCTGAGCCAGCTCTGTGGAGAAGCCACTTGGCGAGGATCCGGCAACCACACAAATGAGCTTGGAAGCAGATCTCACTTCAGTTGGATCTTCAGATGAGACCGCAGCCCTAGCTGACAGCTTGACTGCAGTCTCACAAGAGACCTTGAGCCAGAGGTACTCAGCTAAGCCATGCCCTGATTCTTAACTCATAGAAACTCTGAGATAATCAGTGTTTGTTGTTTTAAGCCACTAAGTTTTGGAGTACTTTGTTACACAGTAGGCTACAATGTAAGGTGATCAGGAGGACATATGTATTGAGTATCCAGAATAGTTTTTATATGTCGGTATTTTTCCTGAGGCCATTCAATTCCTTGTAAAAGAACTCTCTAATCTCCCAGAGAGCATATGCCTGGCTGCCTGAGTTCAGGGGCCAGAGCTGGAAGAAGGACCTAACTTTCACTTACTCCCTCCATTTTTAGCCCCAAGGCCAACTCCTGCACTCCAGTGTGTCTGGTGTTCCTAATTCTAAAGGCTTTCCCATGTCATCTATTTGGAGAGGCTGTGCCTAGTTATGCCCAGGTGGGGAAGGAGCCTGGTGGGTCTAACTGTTCCATATGTAGACTTTAAAAATGTTTCCTTGTTTTCAGCCCAGATCCTTGTTCTCAGCTTTTAAAGCAACCAATGTCATTCACAAAAAGCACCCTTAGAAGAGTTAGAGTTCTACCATGAAAAACACAGCTATAAACCTTTTAGGAGAGAATATAGAAGAGTATAGTATCTTTATGACTTCAGAATAGAGAAAGATTTATTGATCTAGTTTTTAAAAATATAAATTATAAAGGAAAAAATTATAAATCAGTCTACATGAAATATAAGAACTTTTGTCCATCCAAAAGCACCATATAAAAAAGTAGAAAGACAAGACATGGATAGTTACAACATGTATACCTCACAAGAGGTTCATAAGCTAACTATAGAAAGGCATCTTAAAAATCAGTAAGAAAACAAAGGCAACCACTGGAAAAAAAAATGTGCAAAAAGCCCTGAACAGGCAATTCACAAATGAGGACATTTAACAAACAAATGAAGCAGTGCTTAATGTTGCTGGTAATCAGTGAAATGCTAATAAAACTAAGGTGAGTTACTGCAACATATTTATTGTGTATAGTGCAAATGACTATGAGCAGAAGCATGGTGAGTTAATTGTTGTTATGTTCAGACAATGGAATACTAACCTTCCAAGAAAGTGCACAAACTAAAGATATATGTACAAGGATGAATCTTGAAAGATGTTTTAAAATAAAATAAGCAAGATACAAAAGAATAAATATAATATGATTCTATTTATATAAGGTCTCAAATCAGGCAAAACTAGGAATGTACACATAGATTGTAAAACTACATATATATATATGCATATGTGTGTATATATATACACGCATATGTGTGTATATACACACACACACACACACACACACACACACACACACACACACAGGCATACCTCAGCACTATTGCAGGTTTGGTTCCAGACCACTGCAATAAAGTGAATAGCACAATAAAGTGAGTCACATGAAATTTTTGGTTTCCCAGTATATATTAAAGTTAAGTTTACACTATACTGTAGTCTATTAAGTGTGCAATAACATGTCTGAAAAAACAACGTACATACTTTAACTTAGAAGTACTTTATTGCTAAAAAATGCTAACCATCATCTGTGCCTTCAGTGAGTCATAGCTGTAACATGAAAGATCACACTGATGGCAGATCACCATAACATACACAATAAGAGTGAAAAAGTTTGAAATATTGTGAGAATTACCAAAACGTAACACAGAGACACAAAGTGGGCAAATGCTGTTGGGAGAATCGGGCTGATATATTTGCAACAACATGGATGGACCTAGAGGGTATCATGCAAAGAGAAATAAGTCAGATAAAGACAAATAAAATATGATTCCCCTTAAATGTAGAATCTAAAAAACAAAACAACTGAACAAGCGTAACAAAGTAGAAAGAGTCAGATACAGAGAACAGGAAGGTGGGTTGCTAGAGAAGAGGGGGATGAGGAGAGGAGAGAAATGAGTGAGGGAGATTAAGAGATACAAACTGCCAGTGACAAAATAAATGAGTCATGGGTATAAAATGTACAGTGTGGGGAATATAGTCAATAATTACACAATATCTTTGTATGGTGACATATGGTAACTGATGATCATTTTGAAATGTACAGAAATATTGACACACTATGTTGTATAACAGGAACTAACATAGTGTTGTCGATTATACTTCTAAAACAAACAAACTCAGAAAAAGAGACCAGATTTGTGGTAACCAGAGGCAGTGGGTGAGGGCAGGGGGAACTGGATAAGGGCATCAAAAGGCACAAACTTCCAGTTATAAGATAAATAAGTACTAGGGATGTAATGTACAACATGATAAATTAACAGTGCTGTATGTTATATATGACAGTTGTTCAGAGAGTAAATCTTTGAGTTCTCATCGCAAGGGAAAACCATATTCATTTTATTTCTTTAATTTTCTATCTATATGAGATGATGAATGCTCACTAAATTCAATGTGGTCATCATTTCATGATGTACATAAGTCAAATCATTATGCTGTACACCTTAAACTTACACAGTGCTATAGGTCAATTATATCTTGATAAAATGGGAAGAAACTTTAAAAAATAAATACATAAATAAAATGAGGAGAGAAAATGGGGCTGATGGTGGTGGTTTCATAGGTATATACATATATGAAAATTCATCAA